AGCGCTCGACCATCACGTCGCGGGAGATCCAGACGGCCGTGCGCCTGCTGCTGCCCGGCGAGCTGGCCAAGCACGCCGTGTCCGAGGGCACCAAGGCCGTCACCAAGTACACCAGCTCCAAGTGAGCGCCCGCCGCGCCCCGGGCTCGGCCCGCATCCCAACGGCTCTTTTCAGAGCCACCCACTTTCCTAAGAGAACTGGCACTCGCTTTTGAAAGGGTAAGTGGCTGTTTACTGGAAAGCAAAACCTCGTTACTTCACTTTTTACTTAGTAAAAATTGCTCTCTTTCCAAATAGTGCGTGCTGCAGCAGCATATGGTCTTATGATCATATTTCAAGAAAGATCAGGTTCACCTAGAGACAAGGTACCTTTCGTCCCAAATGAAAGCCCATGCATTTAACTGTCAACCTGACAGGTTTAAACAGCTTTGAGCCCGTCTGCTAATTCAGCATTTGCAGTCCCTTATTAGTCATCTGCATTATTCACTCATGTTCGTTTTGGGATCTTCCACGCGTCTCCTAATTTTGCCAAATAGGAAGTTAGAGATTTCAAATGGGGGTGAAGTCAGTCGCCAATCAGTTACCCGGCGCGCCATTCAGCGCCCAGGGCCCGGGCAGCCAATGAGGACGCCGCGCGGGCGATTCGAAATGACACCCTATTCCCTTTGTCTGAGGTGACGCTGGCCGTGCGGATTGTGGGTGGGCACGGACACATTTTACTTGCCCCCCTTTTAAGTTAATTCCTGCTGGAATTTCCAGCCTGCCAGGATCTGCACCGTGCGCCCTTCCCCTCTCACTGACGGTTCTTATTTCTCTATTCTTTGGCATACGTTTTTCTCACTATCCCCTGTTGCAGAAACCACAACCCGTCTTTCCATTTTAAACCTTTAGAGATGGCATATTTAACTATTTCGATTTTGCCGGAAATCACCTTGAAAACTTCCATTTTTGAATTGTAGTTGCTATTTTTTTATGCTACCTGTCTCCAGTTATGGCGTTTCAATGACGTTTTTACTCCTTAGTGTTTAAATGAGAATATTATGCACACACAGAACTGGAGACATACAGGCGTGGTCAACACTCTTAATAGAAAATACAAGAAGCAACCACATATTCATGACCTAAAGAAACAGTTGAGGTACATTTCACACAATGGTATCACATACAGCAGATCTGTGTCAGCTCCATCAAGCTCTCACCAGCCACTGCTGCATGATCTCCACCAGGGAGTGACCCCCAGGGCGCACCAAACCTCTCCTGATAGACCTGTACATTAATATTTGGTTGAATTTCAGAAATATCAATTCCAGAAGCTTAATATATGTACCATTTCATAAGGTTCAAAAAAATAACCAAATTATCTTCTGTAGCCATATATAGAAATGTGAGGTTTTTGAAAGCTTTAAGACAGATCATGAATAAACATTTAAAATATCAGGCAGTAGATAGATACCTCAGGGACAGGATGGGGAAGCAGATACATTTTATAATTTATATAAAATGTTAATTGTTATAATTTATATAAAATGTTAATTGTTGCCAACATTCAACTAGAAGTTTCATCAAGAGTGTTTGACATAATTTGCTTTATATTTCAAATGTATGTTAGAAATTTCATTATCATATCCTGATCTGCAAAATATTATAGGGAAAGAACCCTTGTATGAAAAGATTGAAACACCATCTAGTTTGTCATAAAGGGAGATTTTTTTTCTTTAATTTTTTTTATTGTGGTAAACACACATATAACTTACCAACTTAACCATGTTTTTGTGTACAGTTCAACGATATTAAGTACATTTGTTTTTTAATAATATAATAGGTTATGTTCACATCATTTTGTGCCATTTCCCCGTGGGCTTCCCATCACCAAATCAACCCTGTGCCATCACCACAGTCTGGTACACTTCCCCCTCCCACTCCCACTTTTGATCCCATTCCCCGCTCCACCATAAAGGGAGGACTTCTAAGATTCCAATAGGTAATAGACTCTATAGGTCATGTTTGTTTCTCTTAGGAGAAAAAGAAGACAGACACTATTTAAACAGCCAGAATGAGGGAATCATCCTAAAATCTAGGAGAAAAATTGGAAAGTGGATTTAAAGTGGTTAAGTTACAAGACATAATTTCTAGTATCTATATACAGCCTGGCCTCAAAAATAAAATTTATGTTGTGACAATCAGAGACAGCTTGATGATTTGGAATTATTAGCAGGGAAGATGTCTTGAAGAATATGGGGGGGGTTGGGGGTCACCAAAATCTGTGGGGAGAAAAAGGAAGAACACTGAAAAGGCATTTGTCATTGCTACAAGGATCACAAATAAGGTCTTTGCACCTCGGTATTTAGAAAGTCAGAATCTTAGGAGAGAATGAGCTAAAAATAAAAATGGAAAACAAGACCTTGGGACTTAATTGCACCTTGGTGAGCCAAGCATTTTTAAGATTTATTTTTATTTATTCATGTATATAAGAACTGGGGTACAGACCAGAGGTGTGGGAACTGAGAGGACTTACCAGAGACAGAGTGGGGAGCAGAAGGCAGACCCACTGAAATCCACTGCTGAGGGGCGCAGCAGGGAGACGAGAGGTTTGCTGTGCCTTGTGGGTCACTCCCTGGCCGGGATCATTCAGCAGTGGCTGGTGACAGCTTCACAGGGCTGAGACTGTACCCCCTGTGCCACCAGGGAGGCCCAAGCCAAGCAGTTAAACCTTGATTAATTTATGCAGTTTTCCATCAGCCTTGGGAAACTGATTTGCGCTAAACCAAACCAGACTTTCACTTTATTGTTTTCCACTGCTATTTCTTAGCTGGTAGGTTGAAGGATTTACATGATTTATCCAAAATAATTTTGTCCTTTTTTTCCAGGAAGTCCAGTTTATAATGCAGAGAGGTACAGATTAGAGCACAGGAATAGATCTGAGCATCTGACCTGAAAGGATTTTTTTCCAATCAATGTCACCTGGAATAGCTGTGTTCACCCTACAGAATCTTGTTTTCTCACTGGAAACAGCACTCCCTTCCATGGAGACCGTATTGAATGTACCAACAAAGCCTAATTCTTGTTTTTGTTTTGTTTTCTTTCACCATTTCTAGATTCTATGCAGTTTGCCATCTTTCTAGATTCTATGCAGTTTGCCATCCTTCAGTTATGATTTGTATCAGGCACAAGAATTAATTTGATCACAACTTACTTCATACTTCACCTCCAAGAATCCCTTTCATAACTCATATTTTTTAGGTCTCCCTCCCTTTCCAGGCTGAAATTAAATTCTCAGGTTATAGTATTTAACTTTCATACACGTGTATTTTAAAAAGTGTGAAAACAGCTTAGTATAAGTATAGAAAAACGACGTTATTTCAGTAATAAAGAAACTAATTTCAACATACAGATGCTTGGGCCCTATAGAAGAAAGTGAAGTAAATGGGTAATTGCACCTATGACTTAGAAACAGAACCAACAGGAAGCGTGTTTGTGTGTGCGTGTGTGATGAGATTTTTAGGTTCCCACCTCAAGGCAGTAAGCTTGAGACCCAGAAAGAGCCCATTTTCCAGTGTGTGTCCCAAGGTTGGAAAAAAACCCATGTCCCAGTTCAAAAGCCATCACTCAGGAGTAATCTCTCAGGAGATGGATGATCTTTTGTTCTATTGTGGACTGTAACTGGATGACCCGCCCACAATGGAGAGAAAATCTACTTACTCCATCGACTGAGTTAAGTGTTAATCTCATCCGCAGCACCACCACAAAATTCCTAGAAACACATCTGACTAAGCCCCTGGGTTCCTTATGGACCGGTCAGCAATAAATTGGGCTGTGACAGCACCCACAGGTAGAGCTGCACTGCATGCAACGTTGGCACCAGGGTCGGGCACTGCAGCCGGACTTCTGAAGTGGGTGAAAAAAGACACTGTAAAAGAGCAAATTGCAACGTTTTCTCAACTTAGAAAGTGATTACGCTCTTGGAACTCATTCTATACTAAACTGTACACATATACACATATACACACCTCTCGTGTTTGTTTGTGAACGAAGTTAGACGTGAGGATGAGATCATGAGGATTTTCACCTGTGAGAGGTTGGGAGTCGTGCGTGAGCTGAACAAACTCTGCTAGTTTCCCTGGACCTTTCTTAAATGCATATAGTACTACTACCCCCGACACTGGAGTAGTCAAGAAACAACTTGCCTACTTCTAGAAAGTCCCCTAAGGGTTAGT